GAGAGGGCGAGATGCGGACGCAACGAGAGAACGAGGAAGGAAGAGAGGATAAGCTCGGAGAATAAGATTCAAATTCAATTCCACGATACCCGACACACCACATCACTCGAGCTTATATATCCGCTCGTTACAACCAAGGCCTCGGCCCAACACTTGTGCAGCCCACACGCTAACACAGGCCAACTCCTATTCAAACCTCCCGCGCTACGCTTCCGCCTTGTCGCTGCGGATACGCCTTCCTGGCTGCTTCACAGCCAATGTCAGTAGCTGCATACTGACAGATTATTGATTTGTTTTTTAAAATCCATATCTTGAACTGAAAATCCTTGATACATGTTATTTGTTAATGGTAATAGTTAGTGTTAGACTCTGTTATATGGAATCTACTTTATCATGGACATGCCTAGGGGCTTAGTGTAGTTATTGTGGCCCTGGCCGTCAGAGCTGAACTATCGCTTGTTATCCCTACAGATGTTCGTGCTAACTGAATATGCTAATTTGCATTGCTTTTGTTGCATAACCATGTTTTTTTTTCTGAAGCTACTTATGCAGCGAAGGTACAGGTTCTAGATGGCTCTGTAGACAGTGAGAATGAGGAAACTCAAACTCATGAAGATTCTAATGAGGAAATCGATTATGATAAATAACAACACAGGTAATCTTTCAGACAGACACACCAAAAAAATAGTTCGGTCCTTAATTCATTACTTCCAAAATGTAAAGTAAATTCCAGAGACACATAACACAGAGTCTTTTGTGCTAAACTTTCTAATTAACCGCTCCAAAATATGTACTCGCCACAAATAAACTTTCTAATTCGCTAGTCTTCATCTTTGACTCACTACAAATAAACCTATGAAAATAGATGTCTGCTAAAAATCCTGCAAAAATTCCCATAAAATATTTCAATAAAATCTAAGAAGTCTTCATCTTTGAAAATCTACCACGGTGTCATAGGTTAAAATCCAATCACTTCATCATTGGTCCAATTAATTTTTTATAACAAAAGTTGTTCAATTTGTGACTAAAAAAGTGGTTGGATTTTAGAGTGGTAATATGGTATACCTCGGATAGGTTGGTCTATGATAACCGGAGGTGGAGTGGATCAGCATCTAATGTGAGGCACTCACTGACGGTCTGGCCGTGGTTGTGGGTATGCGTCCGGCGCCTAGGGATCAGAGTCCGAATAGCAGAGTCCGTCGGTGTGGGCTAGCAATGTTAAGACTTTAAAAAGATTATCATCAATTGTGCACTACATATCTGATCTTGACAGTGCAATATGAACATGACTCATGTTTAATACAGCGAACAGAATATCAAATTAGAAATTGTGGTGTTGTTTGGCTGGAGGGGACGGTAATTCAGGGAGGGGTAGGGAGGGTGGATTATGAGTTTGAGGGTTGAAGTCCCATCATTTTAGAAAGTTCAATATACATCGACACTTCATGATGATTCATCATAGGATGCATTTCAAGATACAAATCAGTCACTCAGAGTTTTTGTCTGTCTTACCAAACATGAAAGTAAAACTAAAACCAGAATTTACATGCCTAATCCCACCATGATGTCCCACCCTGTCCCAGTTGATGCCCAAGCCAAATAATCCAGGGAAGATATGTAGAACAATGTAATGTATGACCGGAGAACCAAACTACTAAGATCAATACAGTGAGAAAACTAAGTTTTTGAAAAGTAGTCAATGATAAAAAAATGTTAGAACTTCATCAGTTGACACCATAACAAGTAAAAACACAGAAGACATGTGACTGCTAATTACTCAATAGATGTAGATCAAGTTTCCTCTATAATACCTGCAATGTTAGGAGTCATCTAAGCCCGAACAGGCATCATGCCTTCTCATTTATCCAACCAGAAACCTCCTCTAACAAGGCACGGCCCTGTCCAACGGTGGCACATTTTTCACTCAGGCATGCCATGTTGGCATGAGAAATAATCTCAAGAGCATCCCATTTAACCAAAAATGTTACCATTCCAGATTACTCAACGCGTTGAATAATCTCATGCCATGCAGCTAGTTGTATCCTATGCGGACATGCGTCTCCTGTTAAATTAGAATTCATCACAATAACAGAAACACAAAGCGGAGAAAGCACATATGTTGGTGTCACGGTAAGCAGCCAATTAGTACAAGCTTCCCCATTATGCAAACTGCACTACAAAGATATTATTACCGATATGCGATATTCTATTTACATGTAGAAGGTAGATTGCATCGTCATAGAAAGTATAGAAAATTTCAATGCTTACAGACTTACCTTCCCATTATTCTTTCTCAGATCAGCAGAGATGAATCGGCTTCCACCGGATCCTTAGCTGGTGTAGCCTCAACTGCTTGCTCAGGACGATTGCTTAGCATGACGTGCAGCCTCCCGCAGCAGTAGTTCAACTCCTGCACAATGACACAAAAGGCATAGACCGTCAGAACACAGTCCAATGGTTTCTAGACCTGGCGTACATCGGCGCCTCCATGGCTGCTGAACAGGATGAAGAGGAGCACTGGAGGAGGACCATGGTAGCGGTGAGACCCAACCCATTGCGACGCCTAGGGAGCAGGCGCACGGGCACACCAGTAAAGCACAGCACAGCGGCGGCCGTGTCCTCCATCTCGATGCTTCAGCCAGGCGTCACCATGCAGTCACACAACGACCTGCACTCCATGATAACCTCTCGATTCCGCCGCCCCCGAATCTCACGGCGTCGAGGTGGCCATGGGAGGGCTCGCCGGAGTGGTTTAGGAGAGGATCAGGGGGTTGTGGAGATCTGGGTGGAGGTGGTTTGGAGAGGTTCGGGGGTGAGGGCGGGTCTGGATAGGATGGAGACCGTGAAAGGAAACCAAAAACATAGGTGATTTCCTCCCTTTTTTCCATGCGGAAGAGGAGGTGGAGTCAAACGTTTTATTTGGAAAAAAATCGGTGGGGAGGTCGATCGATGGAAAAAAAATCGGTGGGGAAGGTCGATCGATGCGAGGGGTTGCGTGTGAGCGAACGAACGAACGACGTACGGACTCCTCCATTAGGAGTAGAGATGCCTGCTCCTTCCTATTTTAAAAGGGTAAATGGAGTACATATCTGGTAACAATATGCTGATTCCAAGCACAACTATCTCTAGAAAGGAAATCTAAAAACAGTCCATAATATGCTATCACCTATCGGTCACCTCCCTGTATAATAAACATGGTGAGATAAGCCTACAACTCAAAGCTATCACTTTGGAGGTGCACAACAGGAAAAAAGGAACTATTTGCAGCAACCAGTCATATTTGTTATTTAGTCAGTAAACATATAAATCCAAACACCAATAGAACATAAATGCTCTAAAAGTGTACACTGCATTCTCCAACATTTTGACTGCTTTAACGTGATCTATAATTTTAAACAACATTCAACAATATGAACTTTTGAGCCGTTGCCTGAAAGAAGAACAATGCTGACAGGTCATAGCAATGAATTTGAGCACGATAAAAGAAACGACACGCCACCTCAGTTTCTTTACCTGCCCCGAAATAAAAGTTTGCCTCCTTTATAAATTGGAGGAAGTTTTTTCAGATACTGGCCCTGTTCTTTACAGATATTTAGCTCTGTACTAACATGCTTAGGCCATGTGAACTAATCAACAATTCAGCAGACCGCAAAATTCACAAAAGGAAGTGAGAGCACCAATGAATTCAGTGGCGTGACTGAAACTAATGCAGCTCACAGTTTGTTTTGGTAGCTGCAGCCTGCAGGTTCTATTTTTTGGTGAGAATGGAACATAATGTTGGTGACTGGACATGAAAAAGGAGAAAGTACAATGTCTCTAGATTATGAAGTACCTGACATGGGTTCCTGCAATCAAGCCTATATCATTGCACGGACAATATCCTCAACCTGCTTCATCATAGCACAAAAAGATGATGGGCGTGGTTGAAAAGCAATTGAACGACATCCAATAGTCATCACAAGTCACCTGCTTCATAAACAGAACATGAACTTGCTGAATACAAACCGTTAAGTCAAGGAGGCAATGAGCTCTTTTATGTGTTTTATGGATCATGTACAGACAGTATAACAACAACACTTTCTACGACGTAGCCGAGCTTTCCTTTCTTGCAAAAGAATAGACAGACTATCTGTCTCCTATTCTTAAAAGCTAAAACCGGAAAAAAAATGAGGGCAAATTTATTTGCACCTTCAAACAATGAATGGGGGCAGAGGCGCATTATCTGTACAATGGCATCCAAATGTTGCTTTTCATCACATGCAAAATAAAATAAAAAGGTCACACAGGTCTTTCTCCTGTGCTCTAGTAAACAATAATAATCAACATATAGCTACAAATTCTCAAGAACAAAGACTGTACTGGTAGGCTGTATGCAGAAATTGTAATACTCGTACAAAGTATCAGCCAGTACGCCATTCAGAAATACAGGAGAATAATAAAGGAAAATACTGGTATGAATTAGTAAACCATCAATTACTTTCACAAAAATTGAAATCTTCAAACAAAGATGCTGCAGAAAGAAAGATGATTAATTTTCAGCTAACAAGAACTAGAGCAAGCAACCAACAAACTATATCAAAATGCCATCCTCGGCAGTGATCAACAAACTCTGGTCATCCTGGTCCTTTCATATCAGTATTCCAAATATATAAATGCAGATATACTACTCACAGATATTTCAGTGCGTCTGCACAATGACCTGATCTCACACCTTAGTTCCAATATGTGTGTCAATAAGACATGAGAATGGCCAAAATAGCAGTTCGATGTTCTCTTCTCTGCTGAATGATGAGATGGACATGCCAGGTCTCATAAAATAAATTACTAGCTTCATCAAGTGTTAGCAAGTAGCAACGACCAAACCAGCATGTCATAGACATACTACAAAGACAACCAACATCTAGTTAGGCACGAATACTGAAACAAAAGGCTACCAGCTTACTGCCCAAGCAAAATCTTTGGGGCGCAGTAAATAGTTTCAAACTTTACATATTCCTGGTTCATGCAAATCTGAATCTAGTCGGCACTTCGCCTCTGCAAGCTTCCGCATAGTCTTCAGCGAGGTGCGGTGCAGCTTCCATGTGAGGGCATATGTACTTCTCCATGAATACCTTCTCGGTCCGCATTACTGCAGAATAGTAGTCCCGGTCGCAATCTAGCAATTCATTTTCCTTGAGAAACTTTACAACATGGTACCGGGGCCTGAGCCGGCCCTCCAGGCTGTAAGAGAGCAATACCGGACGATGAGCAATGTATGCCGGTTCCAGCCCCACCTCAGAGACGAGGAACTCTGATCTGCTCTGCAGAGAGTCCTTAGACCTTGTCAGCAAGATTGGAAACTTGGACACAGCAATGCTGACCTCGGCATCTGACCACCTAAAGGTCTTCTTCAAGTACCCCACTTTGGTGGCGATCTTCTCCTCGCTGAGGTACGCAACAGCAGACACGGCATGCCTGAATATCCGAGATCCACGGGGCACACCAAGACTTTCAGCGCATGACACCATTGCCCGGATGGATTCTACATTGGTTGTGAGCAGCCATGGATTAGGGATGCACAGCTTGGCAATGTCGCAATCAGCCAGCCCCAAGTCCCGCAGGGTCGCGACATTGGGCTTGACCACCCTCTCAAGATCAGACGAGATAAGGTAAAAGCCGCGCTTGAGAACTCAAAAGGGTGTTGTCGATGGAACCGAAGAGGGGCAGGTAGTACTGCAGCTTGGAGACGATGGATGTGAGATGTAAGTTGCCTTGGCAGTAGGAGATGAGGCGCGCGATCTGAGAACGCGAGAGGCCGAGGCCGGTGAGCTGGGCGACGACGGGGACAAGGTACCCCTCCACTCTGGAGCAGAGTACCTTGGGGTCTCCCGCGACGACGGTGGCGACGTCAGAGCTGGAGAAGCCGTGGCCGGCGAGGAAGGAGAGCACGGCGTCGGGCTTGGTGGGGGATTTGAGGTGGGAGAGCTTGGCGGAGGCCTTGAGTGCCTGCGCTCGGGAGAGGCCGCAGCTGGCGACGAGGTAGTCCTGCACGGCGAAGCTAGGGGCGGGCGCTGCGGCGGAGATGAGGCGGTGGATCTGGGAGGTGGAAGAGGCGGAGGGAAACGAGAGGAGCTGAGTGAGGACGCAGCACCGGTGCCGGAGCATGGCGGCGGCGACGAGATTGGAACGAGCGGCTTGGCGGCGGCGGCGTGGTTGTCGCAACCAAAAATGGAGGAATGACCTTCCACGAGCCCACCAGCGTCAGCGTGTGAGCGTAGTGGGCCTTGAAGCCTTCTAATTCGTTTACTCACTCATAAAAAATGAGATGCTCAAGAAAAAAACTCACAAAAAAATGAAGAAATTTATTCAATTTTTTTAAGGAATATCCCTAAAAACACAAAATGAGAAACGAATGTCTCAAAAAAACTGAAGAAACGTGCGCCAGGTATTGGTAGTACTCCATCTGGGTTTTTTGTCTACTCTGTATATAAGAAGCCAACCTTTTTAATATTTGCTCAATATTATAGAAAACAAAATCAACATTCACAATATCAGAAATATGTCATTACATGCATCGTGAAATTAATTTTTCATATTGTATACCTCTATTATTGTAGACGTTGATATTTTTTAATATAAATTAGATCAAAATTTATGAAGTTTGACTCAAAACAAATCTTATACGTGGAGTACAAGGAAACCGAGGGAGTACAAAACATCACGCGACGACTCGGCCCTGAGCCGCTCGTGCAACTATATCCCTGTTGTCATCCTCAGCTCACGCCATCTAGAAAAGCCAGCCCCGTCATCATCGTCGGCTGAAGCTCATCAACTAGAACCATGCAGAGCCCCGGCCGCCATGCTCGCTCCATCTCCATCTCCTCTTCTTTAGCACATAGGTAAATCATATTTACAAGTAAAAACAACTACAAAATGCTTTGCTCTGCCATCTCTTTTACAACTAAGGGCTTCACAGACTGAATTTTCTTCACTGCGCAAGGCGCCACAGAGCACTAGGTAGGGTTCAGGTGACATACAAAAAGATTCAGCAGCTCACATGATCGTGAGTGCCTGGAAAAAGAATTTACCAAGTCTTTATTCTCTGAATCATATGTTCTTTAACAAGTACAACCTGATAAAGATATTTTCACACCTAGGAAATTATGACTAAGGAAAATAAGAGGAGCAATTCGTACAAAACAGTAATTTGTCCAATGATATTTTTAAGGGCCAATAAGATAGTCATCTAATCATGGAGGCTGGAGCACAAGGAAAGTTATTTCAATTAGCATCTAACTGCTATGTAAAACAGCATACATGCACAACTGCCTTGTAAACTACTTGTTGTGTTCCCTCTACAGGGAACACAACTGCAAACAAATAGACCAACTCGTCTCACTCACAATCAGGATAGGGGAACTATAGCAAAATAGCGCGGTTTTAGTCATCTGCCAATCTTCTATATGTCATATGACATTTGACTAGGTGCAAAATATATCAGCCCCAACCAATGGCGTTTCTTGTGCAACCTGTGGAGTCACTAGACCCCGCAGGTTTTTTTTAATCACTACTACTTTCGTTCTGGATATTGCATCAAAACAATCATAATTCGAAAAATTTATGGCTTTAGCATGTAACGCCCCGAGACCGATGTGTCAGGTGTCTCCCAGTTATTCGTTGTTGTTGCCTTGTCATTTGCTTGCGTGTCATGCATTTCATATCATGTCATCATGTGCATCGCATTTGCATACATGTTCGTCTCATGCATCCGAGCATTTTTTTCCCGTTGTCCGTTTTGCAATCCGGCACTCCTATGTCCTCCGGCGTCCCTTTTACCTCTTTTCTGTGCGGATGTTAAACGTTCTCGAATTGGACCGAGACTTGCCAAGCGGCCTTGGTTTACTACCGGTAGACCGTCTGTCAAGTTTCGTGCCATTTGGACTTCGTTTGATACTCCAACGGTTAACCGAGGAACCGTAAAGGCCTCGTGTGTGTTGCAGCCCAACACCTCTCCATAGTGGCCCCAAACCCACCTAAACCCCCTCCATACTCTCGGTCGTTCGATCACGACCGCGTGGCCGAAAACCGCAGCTCATTTGGAGTCTCCTAGCTCCCTCTACCTATATATGTGATCCCCTCCAAAAATTCGCAGACGAAACCCTACCCTAACCTTCCCCGCCGCCACCGGACATTTCGTCCCGCGCCGCCGGACATGTCCGCCGCCCCGCAGCCACCTCACTCCGGCGAATCACGCTATGCCACGTCAGCCGGCCGCCGCCCTCGCCCAACCGGACGCCGCCACGCGTCCCGGCGCCCCGCGCCTCCTCACCACGGGCCCACGAACCCGACCGCAGCCCTCCGGGCCCGGTGCGCCGCCGCCCGCCTCCGCTGGCTCCGCACCGCACGCCGAGGCGCCCCACTGCCGCTGCCAGGTGCTTCCCTGCCGCCGCCGCTAGATGCTCCGTCGCCCCGCCGCCGGAAGGCCCCGCCGTCGCCGCCATGTGCCTCGCCCCGCCTCCGTCGAGATGCCATGAACCGCCTCTGCCGCTGCTCGTCGCGGATCCGGTCGGGCTGGACCGGATCCGGTGACCTCGAGCCCGGCCACCGCCTCTCCTGTTCTCCGGGCCAACTCCGGCGAAGATCCGGCTCTGCCTCGATCTGCGTGCGCCCGGGTCAAACCCTATACCCGTTCTTGGAGTGGTATAATTTCTCTAAAAGTCCCCAGTATTTTTGGGCATTTTTATCGCATCATAACTTTGCACCTGTGGCTCCGTTTTGGGCGTGTAGCATATCAAATTGTTCGTCTCGACGTGTACTTCATTTCATCTCATTGCATCATGTTCATTTGAGCTCATCTTGATGCCCTAAATGCTGTTGTAAGAGTGCTAGTTTATATTAGTTTCAGATTCTTATCAGTAATTGGTCATTTGTCATTTTTGCCATGTTTAATGTGTGCCTCCTATGAACTTGAGCCCTACATGAGTTTTGAAGTATGCCATGCCATCTTTATAGGGGGTGTATGCCATGTATTTTTGTGATCTCTGTGATGACTAGCACAAGCATGTAAAGTAGCTCTCGTAATGTTGCTGATTTCACGGACTTAGAAATCTTCTAAGTCATTGCCCTAATAATATTTTTATGCCATGTATTCTTGCTGCTACAGAGTGATCCATGCCTCTTTTGAGCATGATCAGTAAGGATGTTTTGTAGATATTGTGGTGATCTATCCATCCATGTCTTTGTTTGCATTTATGGAGCACCCTAACTTGAGTCAATCGAGCTCTACTTTTGCTATAAAATGTTCCTGGCAGATTGTTTACATGTTAAGCAATTTTGCCGAGGTTGTTGTTGTTGTTGTTGTTGTTGTTGTTGTTGTTGTTGTTGTTGTTGTTGTTGTTTATCCATGCATGTTATGAGGTGGTTCTTACCATGTTTAGCTTCTATGTCATGTCTACTTGCTGGGTGTATGCTTAGTTTATCATGCGATGTCTTGTGGTGAGTGCATCGAGCTCGTAAACATGCCTACTTGATATCTGTTTTGCCATGTTCCAGTTTTCTGCTAAGTCTGAATCTGTTAACGATAATTGCTATGTTCACATGGTTGCTATTGTATTTTCTGATCCCTTTTGGCTTATGGTCATTAAGGGTCTTTTGTTGTATGCTTTGAGTAGCTTCATGCCATGCCTTGCTTTGCCATGATATGTTCATGTAGCATGTTGTTATCTTGCTCTAAACATTGCTTTTTGATGTTAAATTCCTGACATGTTGTTATTTTCACTAAGTCTGTAACCTGTTATCTTTTGCTCTTTTGCCATGCTTGTTTGAACCTGCTATTGAGTGAATTAGCCGTAGCTCGGTGTTCATATTTTGTCAAGCATCTTGAGTGGATCCCTGCCATGTATTTTTTTGCTATGTTAGAGTGCTGTAGCATGTTGTTCTTGATGCATTTAGATGGCCTCATGCTGTTAATCGCAGATCGGTGCCATATTTGTTTTGCTGGTCATTTGCAAGCCGTGCATCCGATTCCGGTGATCTTTATATCGATTTCGACCGAAATCAACTCATCTTTCTAGTGGCACTCTTGGTTTTCCAAGTTGAGGCCAGATTCAATCTTTCCTTTCCGAAACATGCATATGCATCGCATTTCACATCCCGCATATCATGCCATGCTTTGCATCATGTTGTTTGTGCATTGCACGTGGTTGATTGTGTCTCCCTTTGCTTGTGTTCTTGCTTTGGGTAGAGCCGGGAGACGAGTTCCTGATTGAGGTACCCGTTGAGTGCGTTTCGAGGATCAAGCTTTCGTCTTCTCGGAGAACTTTGCAGGCAAGATGACCATACCCTCGAAATCATTTCTATCTTTGCTTGCTAGTTGTTAGGGACATTACTACTGGACGTAAACCGGCCAGGAGTATCCGGATTAACTTTATGAAGATTAGAAGCCCATGAAGATGTGAAGATGATGGCGCTTTACGAAGGCCCAAGGCCCAGAAGTGAGTTAAGGACTGTAGACGTAAACCGGCTTAATCATGTAACTTTCTTTGTAAGATAGGGAGTGTAGAGACCGAACCGGAAACGTTTATGATCCGGCTTGGGGACTCTTTAAACCGACGGGCGCCACCCATGTATATAAGGGGACGACCCGTCAGCGGTTCAAGGGACGGACAACAACTCGAGAACCAGACAAAGCGGATTCGCTCCCTGGCCTTTGAAACCCAAGCAATACCAATCACAACTAGACGCGGGCTTTTACCTTCATCGAAGGGGCTGAACTAGTATAAACTCTCTGTGTCCCCTTGTCCGGTTTAACCCCTGTAAGTTAACCCGTTGCGATGGCTCCATGACTAAGTCCTTTCACAAGGACATCTGCCGTGACAAACCCACGACAGTTGGCGCGCACCATGGGGCTATCGCACGATGGTTTAGAGTTCTTGAAGGGCGGCTTTGATGGACTCAAGGGATACGCTGTGGGCTGGATGACGAAGAGTCGTCGCGGCAAGCTTTACATCGACAACGCAGGATGGGGTCCCGAGGCCGATTCAATTGAATATGGGTACCGGGTCCCCTTTGGTGGGATTCACGTCTTCATCGGCAAGATTGGCGAACCGGCACCTGAGCCGGACACCTGCACCGACATCATCGAAACGGCTCAGCGTACAAGTTCT